TGGCTGGAGAGGAAGCTGACCGACTGACTGGCTGGAGAGGAAGCTAACCGACTGACTGGCTTTTTATTATTATTATTATTATTATTATGAATATTGATAAATACTGTATTCTAACAATATGGTATTCTGTTTTTCACATTTATTATTTGTTCTTTGAAATCTGTTCGAAATAAAGATGGAAATGAAATGAGAGGAAGCTGACTGACTGACTGGCTGGAGAGGAAGCTAACCGACTGACTGGCTGGCTGTTTGTTTTCTAGCCGAATGACTGAGACCTTGTGAGATGTGAGGAATTTATGAGCTGGCAAGACGCCAGGAGAGAGAGAGAGAGAAAGAGAGAGCGAGAGAGAGAAAAGTGAAGAGTGAAGAAGATTGAGTGGAAAATAGAGCAGGGAGAGGAGGAACGCAGGGAGTTTTGCTTGGCTGGAGTCAAAGGAAGCAGAGCAGAGGGTTTTCCCCCCTCTTTTTTTAGGAGAGAGGGAGCGTGGCAAACCACACACACTGCTGGAAAACTACACTGAGGAGAAAGAGAGGAAAGAATAAAACAAAGACTGGAACAGAGGAAGAATGGAGAGGTTTGAGGCGGAAGGAAAAGCAGAGTGAAGTGTGTCTCACCTCATTGTTGATATCAAACACTCCCTCCTGGATCTTCTCATAGATCTCCTTGGCTGTGTTGATGAAAGCCTGATACAGAGACAGGATGTGAGCAAGACAGAGAGAGAAGACAAGTTAGTTCTAGTTAATTTGTGGATTTGGAATCAACTGAGATCTTATACAAATGTTTTTACTAGGATTAACACATATAGGCTTGGGTTGCTAAAGATTCTCTTAAAAAACTTTTGTTTGCATTCTTTTTCATCTGAAATGTGTGATAGATCACAGTTAACTATCATCCTCTTTTTGCAAATAGTTTGAATTGATTTGCTCAATATTCTATAGTGAGTGCAATGAGAAGAACGGTATGAATCTTATGTTAAAGCATCTAGTAAAGAGCTGTAGACTGACAGGATGTAGCTAGCTTAGCTTACCCAAGCTTAGTAAGACTGGAATCAGGTCGTAACTGCTAGCCTGGCCCAAGTGCAAAGTGTAACTTTGACAATGGGGTCTCTTATTAATGTCAAACCTAGTATTAGGGGTGCACCGAATGGGAAATTCTTGGCCGAAACCGATACCGAAAATAGGAAACAGTTGGCCGAAAACCGAATGCCGAAAGGCCGAAAATGATTAATAGAAATATATATATATATATATATATATATATATAAAATGTATACATTTTTTACCAATGTTG